CGGTAACTTGTGTTGGGCCCCCCAGCCCGGGCTGACCGCTTGAGGAGCTAGATGGCTGCCCTTGGACACCCTGCTGGCTGTACCCCTGTGCCTGCTGTGTGTGGGGCTGTCCTCCCGCGTCCCCCCATTGCCATGTCTGTTGACTGTGGCTCTGTGCTGCAGGTAGTGGTGGGTCGTCTTCCTCATCCTCATGCCATGGGTCCGTGTAGGGGTCATAGACTGGGGCGTATCTTGGTCTCCACGGGCCGTTGGATGGTGCCGCTGTTGCTGCATAGCCCCACGTCCCCGGTGCCGGTCCCGCGTAGCCCCTCCCTTGCTGTGGTTGTACTTGTTGTGGCAAGGGCTGGTGTGTTGGCGACCAGCCGCTGTTCCATTGGTTGGTGGCTGCCGGTGCTACCCCCCGGGTTGTGGCTTGTCTTGGCAGGAATGGTTGCTGTTGCTGGGGCTGCTGTTGGCCTTGAGGCACCCCCCTGGCTCTTCCAGGCCCCGAGGCTGCAGACTGTTGCTGCGGGGTTCCTTGGTTGCTGCTCGCGCTTCCTGCCCCCTCTGGTCCTTCGTCGGCAAAGATGGACCAGCCCGAGTGGTATTGCTGAAGAGGGTCTGCACTGGCCGCTCCCACTGCTCCTTGTGCTTCCCCTGGGAAGATCGGCTGCCACACTCCTTCTTCTAAGACCCACGTAGTGCCTTGTGGGTAGCCCATGTTGAGGAGCATCTCTGGTTGTAGAGGTGGTGGCAACGGCATGTTCGTTTCTTGTAGTTGCGGTGGTGGCGGTGGCGGGATCGAAGTCGTCGTTGTGGTGGGCAGCCCCATTCTGGTAGTCCCCCTCGTTGGCGGGTTGGTGTTGGACACGGCCATCCAGGAAGTTTCGTCTCCCTGCTCCTCGCTGATGGCGTTGGGGGCGTGCCACTTGGTGGTTGTAGTCCGCCACTCGGTCGTCATAGCCGCCCTGGTTGCCCCGTTGGGTGTGCTGGTTCGTGTAGTTGTACTTGTCCAGGCGGTTTTGGTAGCGCTCGTCCACCTCGGCATCGTTGAGGTCGGTGTTGGTCTCGTTAGGGGTGCCGAGCGTGGTCTCCCCGTCCTTGATGTTCTTCTCGTAGGGCTTCCCCTGTCTTCCCCGCTCGAAGGGCTGGATCGCGTAGTCGGGCTGGTCCTGGTGCTGCTAGTAGCAGACCACTTCGTTCTCGACGTCGTGGATGGCTGTCGTGGCGTTGTAGGGGGCGCCCGCTTAGCCTGTGCAGTCGTACTGTTCCAGGAGCCCCCGCTGTTAGAAGTGAATCGCGTAATCGAGCTTGTCCCGGGGGTCCTCGCAGTAGGCGCCGGTGTCCCTGCCCTCTCCAATGGCTTTGGCATTCCTTCCCTCGTTGTCGGCGACGTACGGGCAGCTCTGTCGGGCTTTCCCCGGTACATCTCCGAGGCGGCGGCTCTGTCCGGTGCCCCCGCCGTTGGCGTTGTTTGGGCTGGCTCTGCGTGGTTGCCCCCAGGCGCCACTAGAGGGTATTGCGCTAGGGTTCCGAGGATTCCCCCCAGCGCTGCTGCAAAAAGGAAGGTGGTGGTGTGGCTCATGGCTCT